GAGCTCACTTCCAACAGGTTCCTCCAGGCAGGGGAGGCCAGGAGCCGACTCACTGCCCGGGAGGGCCAGCAGCACAGACGATGAGGCCACAGTGTGCTGACCCTTGGGCAGAAGGAAGGCTTTTTGCTGTGGTCTGTGTAGGTGTCTGTCCCTGGAGTCCAGGTGCTCAGGCTTGGTTCCCAGAGTGGCGCAGTTGGGAGGTGGTGAGATCCTTTCCAGGTGGGCCTGGTAGAAGGTCCTCAGCCCACAGGGGCATGCCCCGGAAGGGGGCCGGGGACCACAGGCTCTTTCTTTCCCCTTTCTTTCCTGGCTCATGAGGGGAGGGGTTTGCTCCACCAGGTCCTGCTGCCCTCACCAGAGGCCCAAAGCCTTGTCAGAGGTCCAAAACAAAGAGGTCACTCCATGTGGCACTGGAACTTCCAGAGCCCTGAGCCCAAGAGAACCTTGTGTAAAGGCCTCGGGTTAATATTGCAGATATGGAGTGTGACTAACACAGCTGTTTGGCTTCTAGAGGCTTCCCTCCAACCCCACAGTCTGCTCCCTCACAAGCCACTTCTGAGCAACTCCCCCCCCCCCCATTTCCCAAATATCCCTCGGCAGGGAACAGGTCAGCTCTGCTCGCTGAGGTCCCCAGATCAGCTTCATTCTCACCACTGGGCCACCTTCTCCTGGAGAAACCTCAGGGGTCTGGGATACCTCCAGGCCCCAACTTGAGTCACGTTTGGTCCCTAGTGCCCCACACTGGGACCCCTTATTGTCTTTCTTTTACCTGAAGAGTCAGGGACAGATGGTCACCAAGGTCACAAATTTTGGATCTGCAACTGGATGGGATTAAGAGATATTGAGATAGCCGGTGAAGAAGTAATTATCCTCAAAGTTCAGTATGCACTGTGTATTCATCTTTTCCTGAAACGGAAACACAGATAGTTTGCTATTTGATGGGAAAGATAGGGTTGCTTCTGTGTGCCATGTGTGTGTGTGAGGTGTTTCCAGAGGACACAGGCCTGAGACTCAGGTGACAGGGAAAGGAAGACCCACCCTCTACGTGGGCAGGCCCAATCCGACGGTGGGAGGTAAGAACAGAATAAAAGGCAGAGAGGGACCCACCTTCTCTCTCTCCCTAGAGCTGGGACACCCTTTGGCTTGGACATCAGAACGCCAGGTGCTGGGCCCAAGGACTCCAGGACTCGCCGCAGCTCTTTCCGTGGCCTCAAGAGAGGTGCCCATCACCGCCCGGGTCTGCAGCCTCCATTCCTGGACGGAGCCACACAACCAGCACCACAGGGTCTCAGCCTGAGGACGGCCTGTCCTGGCCTCCAGCAGCACGTGAGCCACTTTCCCCGGGCAGCACCCTCCATGCGTCTGCATCCCTCTGTGTGCCTCCTGCTAGGTGCTGGCTGGGTCTCTCTGCAGGAGCCTAACTAACGCGTGGGGTGAGGACATGCCACTGGGGGATGAGAGCGGAGACGGCTCTTTCTGTGGGTCTTTCTGACGAGATGCTGGAGGGCTGCCCCTTGCTTGAGCCCCAGGGGAACGGAGGCTGACCTCCTGCACAGGGACAGCAGCAGTCATGTGGGAATGGGCTGCGGCATCTCACTGCCCACTAGAGCAGGACGTGGGCCTCTGGAGCAGCTCTCGAGAACTGCCTCCCAGAACAAGGGGCCAGGCTGAGAGAGGGCGGGGATGGGAGCAGACCAGAGGCCAGGCTCCTCTGGAGGTGGGAGGACGCCTGGGAGCCCAGAGACGGCTGGCCGGCAAGGAGGGTGGACTGGCTTCGGAGCACAGGCCTTGGCACCCAAGGCCACACCTGGGTGAGGACAGGAGTCAGCAGCACAGCTGCTCACAGGGCCACTCCAGACAGGACGGGCCCTCCTGGAGGGCCTTCCCTCTGGGACAACAGAATGCCACGGTCACCCAGGCGGGACACTGCTCCTCGGCCTGCGCCACCGCCTCCCTCCTAACTCCTACTGCACTGCTTCCAAACACCCTGCTAACAGTAAACTTGTCCTGGGGGATTGCTGCATTTCTTGATCTTAAATAGTGTGTCTGGTGTTGCCATGTGAAGTAATAAAGGATATTCTCCATCAGGAGAACCAGCACTGACCTCTTAAGACGTGCATTTTGCCACGTGACACATCCACCTCGGCCCTGGGCTTAGCTTCCCAATGCACCTACGTTCCTTGGTGACTCTACCTAGTCCTCGTCCTTACTCCCCGCCCAACAGCTACTTTATGTTATTACCATTTAACACTCATCTCTTGATTAAGAGTTCATATGAACGTGAAAATCAAGACTGAGAGGAGCCAGGAACTAGGGACAATGGAATTCAAAGCCCCAAAACCAGCAGGAGCCCATGAAAAACACGACAGGACGTAGTGGACAGTGCATCTGGCCCAGCAGATCAGGTGGCACTGGCTGTTGGTGCCCACAGGAAGCCTACTCACCAGAGTACTGGCTGCCATTTACTGAGTGGGCACAGGGACTCAGCACATGAGGGGGACGGCTGCCTTCTCATGACCTACAATTACCTAGGAGAGTCAGTCACATGAAGGACTAGAGCACAATGTGGCCCTCAGAAATGGCTCTAAACAGCGAGAAAACTCTTGACTCTCTGTAGGAGAGGCAACCAAGAGAAGAATAAATTCTGCAACAGGAAATGATAGAATGGAAAAGTCTACAGCCTTTAAAACTCAGGAACTCGGTTAACAAATATTCCTGGAGAGCCTCCACCCATGCGGAACTGTGTGCATACAAACATGAAGCCAGAGCGTCTGAGGCGGCACATACTGGGCAGGCTCTGCCTAGGGGAAATGCAATTGTGTATTGTACTTTGGTTGGCCTTTGTGATTCCTAAAAATAGCAAGCATGCAGCAACCGTGGGTTAGAAATCAGAGGGCTCAAGGCAGCAGTGTGCAGCTGTGAGAGGGGCACGTGAGCAGGAGGTATTCTAGACATTAAAGGGATGTGGATTTAAGACGGGATGAGAGTTGCGTTTTCCAACATTAAGTGCACTGTGGAGACCTTCTGAAGTCAACCCAGATTCCAAGCATGAAAGACAGTGAGGAACACACATAACATTTGTGCACATGTGGGCACCAGCCACAACCTCTCTGTGTGGCTCTAAGCGAGACAGGGACAGACACTGAGGAAAATGGGCACTGAACCCAGCGCTGGCGTCAGGGCACACGCCAGGCGTTCCCACTCAAGCAGGCTGGAGAGTGGGTTTTGCGCTCCCTCAAGGCAAGAGTTAGGAAGCTGCCTGGGAGGGTGACGGCCAGAGACAGCCATCATGTCCGAGGCAGGGACGACCAGGGTGCCCATCAGAGCCCTGCAGGGGAGAGACGAGACTGAGTGGGAGGGACTGCGACACTGCTCTCCACCATGAGATGAGAATGAGGTCCAGATCAGGGAAACTCAGAAGGGACACTGCAGAAGTGTCCCCAGAGTGGGAGGGAGGCAGGAGTCCACATCAAACAAGACGGAGTCAAGAAGGGCCTGGCCACGAGTCCCAGCGCCCTCTGTCTCTGAGTCCCCTGCCGCCCTGTGGCACTGCAGTGAGGACACAAGACATGGTGCTGTCCTGTCCTCCAGCTCTAGCAGCCAGATAAAGAAGGGGTGTGACAGGGCCAGAGCCACGTGCAGGAGCAGAACACTGGACCACAGAGGGCAGAGTCACACGGGGCACTGCCAGCTCTGCTGTGCAGGAGGAGACTACCATGGTCAGGAGCTGCAGGAGGGGACACAGTCTGAGCACCGACTCACCCAGTGGACTGTGGGGCCTGAGCCTTAAGGGACAGGTGTAGCTGGGTACACACGGCAAGGAGAGACCCCCTGGGCAAGAGCAGCAGCAAGCAAAAGACAGGAACTGGGAGGGGGCCCAGTGCTGTGCTCTGTCCTGGTGGCCTGCAGAAGAGGGTGTCAGAGGGAGAAGGTCCAGGAGCAGGTGAGCCTGACCCAGCGGGAGCCCTGGAAGCCCTGTGGAGAGCAGAGCAGCCAGCAGGATGGAGCCAGCATTCCCTCTCCGATAATGGAGGTTCGAGGAAACCAGGGGAGTCCAGAGGGCTCCCTCAGCCCCAAGCCAGCCCTCCAGGGTTACTTCTCAGTGCTCCCAAGGAAGGACAAGGGAACTTGTGATCCCATGCTTTTGCACTTTTCCTCCTGGACTGTCCACTGAATTGCTGTTAGAGAGGCAGCACTGCCTTACGCACACCCCTTCCGTCTTGCCCTGGAGACTGGGCTCTGCCCGGCCATGCCCACTTCTGCTGCCTGCACACGTCCCAGAACGCCCTGAGCTCACCAGCCATCGCACAGCCACCTGCGGCATATGAGTAACACGTCGGAGGTTAAGAGAGGATGAAGAGCCACAATATTTCTGTTAAGAAGGGTTGTCAATCAGCCAGAAACTATGAAACTCTGGATTCAGTGAGGCACTCTTTCATGATCTAATAATGCGACCAGATTCTGGTCAACATATACATCACCCCATGAAATTGGGGGGCCAGTTCCAGGATCTCAAACATCTCAGAAGGTTCTAGTTCCTTCTGTAAAATGGAGCAATGCTGGCATACACCTCCAGGACTTCCCACGTGCTGTGGATCATCTCTAGATCACTTGTCATACCTGATGCTCTCTAAGGATGATGTTGGGGGTTTAACTATGTTTTTTGGGAATGATGATTAGAAAGCAGGTTCCTCTATGACCTGCAGATTCACAATTTAAAAGATGTTTTCTCCCTACACTTGCTTGAATATCACACACAACAGTCTGTCATACGGGGCTGGGGTGTGCGCGTGTGTGTGCTTGTGTGTGTGTGTGTGTGTGCTTGTGTCTGTGCATGTGTGTGTGGGAGGGTGTGTTCCAGTCTAACATAACACATGCTGCAGAAGCAACCACACTCTGTCACCATAAAGGAATCCTAAACTGTTGGGACCTCTGATGTGGCTAGAAAATTTCACTTTATCACAACAAAACTGAAAGAATTCTCCTTCATTTCAGAGGCCATGAAAGCAAAAAAAATTGCAGTGATTGGCGCCGGGGTCAGCGGATTAGGGGCCATTAAGAGCTGCCTGGAGGAGGGACTGGAGCCCACATGTTTTGAAAAAGGCAGCGACATTGGAGGACTGTGGAGATACGAGGTAATTCTGTGCTCCTTCCGTGAAGTGCCAGCTGTGTCTGTGAAGAGATGCTTCCTCTCTGACAGGAGCCAGAACTCTGTCCACTCTGAGCAATTCCTCCTTCACTCCTTGGTGTCCCTTATAAGTGGCAATGTCCACACTGAGACGAAGCTGAAACTCCCGAGGCTTGCAGGACCCTCCTTCCTGCATTTCCCTGACAGCCCCCAGGAGCACTTGGGCTTCTGCACATAAAACTGACACGTCCTTCTGCTTGGCAGACTTGGGGACAGGCCGGAGGTCACCTGCATGCGGACCCTGGCCCTTCCCTGCACACCGCGGGTCACCTTCTCGCTGCTCTGTGGGCGGGTTGGATGCAGTTGAAAGCAGTGTGTTCACCATGGACCCTCCATGATGGACAGAGGCAGCTCACGCTTCTGAACAACAGCGAGACTTTAAGCACGTGGCACACAGTCTTCACACAGTGTCCCCCTTCGTGGCCCTGCCTGATTTCACCTGGTGTGTCACTTAGTGAGTTGACACACCACGTGTTCATGACTGCTTCCTCTCGGGTTACGTGGTGCCTATTTCCAGGGCCTCCTCCTAATCCATGTTCCTCCAGCTGCGAGGCTGAATTTCTCCTGGGGAAACTTCTCTTCACCACTCGGTTTTATGTTTCTTCCTTTTGGGTTGGTTTAGAATTTGTTTCTTGTGTCGTGTTTTGATTACTTTTAATGTTTTTATTAGGGTGTTATATTTACAAATAATAGTGGGTTCATAGAGACATAGCCACAGGTATAAAGTTCATAATTTGCTCCAGTTCATTCCTGGTACATCCCTTTCCCTCTTCTCCTCCTCCCCCCCGTCCTTCCTGGGTTTTCTGATCTGTCTGGACATTTTCCTGTTGGGAGACGACCAGGGCACACTTGGGGTCCATCATCATGAGGAGGATCCTACTCATCTCATCTCCACATGGGCTGACTCCAGCACCTCCTTACTGCTCAGCTCCATTGCAGAGACCCACAAGGACCACTAGTCCCAAACCCACAGGCTGACGGCCCCCTCTCGTTCCCCACTGTGTGCCTGAACACTGGAGGCCACGGCCGGTTTGCTTCCCACAGGAGACCCCCGACACTGGACGAGCTGGGATATACAAATCCTTGACCTGCAACACCTCCAAGGAGATGACAGCCTTCAGCGACTACCCCGTCCCTGACCATTTTCCCAACTACATGCACAATTCCAAAATGATGGAGTACCTCAGGATGTACGCCAGGCACTTTGGTCTCATGCAACACATCGAGTTCCTGGTAAGGAAGGCAAACCCTGCTCAGCACCTCCACGTGGGTCCTCGCAAAGTCTTCACAAGCCAGAGCAGGCAGAGGCGCCCGTCCAGTGTGCATGTCCACCACAGTTCTAGAGAGACCTGGTGTCTCAGCACATTCTCTACATTAGTGAAGACATTTCCAACTTAGGTCCCCTCCAAGGTGCACTGTCTCTGCATTGGTCCCAAAGCTGAGGCTTCAGTTAATCATATTAGATGTAGAATACAGGTTTAGGAATGCAACTTCATGTATTACGTTGCCCAACGTACCTCAATCCTAGGGAAGAAACAATTCTAGGAGGTTGTTGTGCATACAATTATAAAATCCCAGGAGCTATGGAGAGAGAAGCCACCACCCACCTTATTGTGAACCCAGAGTTCTCTGGGGAATGGAGATGAGCAGTGCTCTAGCACTAAGGCTGCCTTGGCCCTTGCTTCCCAGGCGAAGGTGTGCAGTGTGAGGAAGCGCCCCGATTTTTCATCCTCTGGCCAGTGGGATGTTGTGGTAGAAGCTGATGGGAAGCAGCAATCCTACATCTTCGACGGGGTCATGATCTGCAGCGGCCATTACACTGAGAAGCATTTGCCCTTACAGGAGTTTGCAGGTATTTAACTGATGAGTGTGAGGGACAGATCTTTGAATCCAAGAATCTCCGTGCCCACGCTAGCATGGGCACCGACAGAAGCGTTTTCCTGGCACAGTGGGGTGCAGAGAGGAGCACTCAGATGATAGAGGTACCCCTGGAACTGGAAGCCCAGCCTTCCCCAGGCAGCCAAGGCAGGGGTCTGGCCTTCCAGGAAGAAGAAGCAAGTGAGCAATGGAGTGTGGCCTGGCCAGGAGAACACACCCTTGCTGTGGGAGGAGCAGGTGTGTGGGCAGGAGAGGTAGGTGGGAGTCAGTGAGCAACCAGTGCAGTCTGTGAGAGTGTGTATGTGCATGTGTGCGTGTGAGTGTGCACTTGTGTGTGAGTGTGTGCAAGTGTGTGTGCATGTGTGTCAGTGTGTGTGGGCAGAAGAGGTAGGCGGGAGTCAGTGAGCAACCAGTGAAGTGTGTGAGAGTGTGTATGTGCATGTGTGTATGAGTGTGTGCATGTGTGAGTGTGCATGTGTGTGTGTGAGTGTGCATTGTGTGTGAGTGTGTGCAAGTGTGTGAGTGTGCATGTGTGTGTGCGTGTGAGTGCGTGTGTGTGTGTGTGTGTGCATGTGTGAGTGTGCACATGTGCACAGTGCCTGACCCACAGCAGCAAAGCGGGTGGAAGAGACACAGCCTCAGCTTGGAGGCACACTGTGCCAGACCCCGTTCCCGTCTGTGCTGCTGACGTGGGTTGCTCCTCTCCTCCCAGGCATCCAGAAGTTCCGGGGCAGGTACCTGCACAGCTGGGAGTACAAGCAGCCAGACACTTTTGCCGGGAAGAGAGTGGTTGTGATTGGCATCGGGAACTCTGGAGCAGATGTGGCTGGCGAGATCAGTCGTGTTGCTGAGCAGGTTGGCATTTTACACTCATTCTGACATCAAGGTGAGAAGACAGAGTTGTTACTGGGCGGCTTCTCCTCTCTCGCAGGTTTTCCTCAGCACGAGACGAGGCGCGTGGATTTGGAACCGGGTGTGGGATGACGGCAACCCCATGGACACCGCCCTCTTCACCCGGTACAATAGGGCACTCCAAAAACTACTGCCCTCGTTCCTCATCAACAGGTGGGCAGAGAAGAAACTGAACGCAAGGTTCAACCACGCCAACTACGGGCTGCAGGCTGCACACAGGTACGTGCACCTGGGCTGGGACGGCCAGGCAGCTCAGCAGAGTCTGTAAGTTATTTGCAAAGAACCAGGATCAAAGGAGACCATTCTAACTGAGATTAGAATGCATTTTGATTGATAATATTCAAGTTATTTCCTTCCAATGTTCTTGGAATTCCACTAAGGTATAATTGATCTGTGTTGGGGCAGGGGGACAGAGACTCAAACATCTGCCTTATTTGAGTCCTGACCATGTGACTCTGCCTTACTTCCTCTGTTTGCCATCACCTGTCAACTACTCTGTTTGCTCTTGAATTCAAAACTGTGATTTCACTGGGGTTGGTGGCCCATACCGGTGATCCCAGCTAGTCAGGGGGATAAAGCAGGAGGACTGCCTGGGCACTTAGGAAGACCAGTTCTCAAAGTAAAGCATAAAAGGCTGGGGCCGTCGTCAGTGGCAGAGTGCCTGCTTAGCACACACCAAGCCCTGTGTTTGACCTGTTGAACCCCAGGGCTGCCAAAGCCCCAAGCCCACTGTTTTTGGATCCCAAGGGGAGGACTTGGAGGACTCAGTGGAGAAGGCTGGGACATTTGATCACTTAGTGCTCCGCAGGCAGTGGGCAGAGACACGATAAAGGGCCACCCTCACAAGCAAGGGGCAACCATGGGACTCGTCACCTGCCCACTGCACGGGTGGTTTCCTTCAGAGGTTGATGGTTTATGGGTGCTTTCCATGACTTTACCACCCAGGTCACCCCTTTCAGATCCCCTCCAAAGGACAAAGATGAGAGAGGTGGCCAGCTCCCCTCTACATCTCCCTCATTACTATGTTAATTGGAATCTTGCCTCACTGCAAGCTCTCCTAGGCACTGAAGAGTATTTAATGCAACAGATCCCCAGTACTTCCAAAAAAAAGAAAGAAAGAAAGAAAAAATTCCATTTCACCTTGTAGATCCTTGAAAAATATTAATGACCAACTAACATCAAAATTTACATATTATTAAGATGAAATAAATATGTTAAAAATCAAAACAATACTTAAGTATTATCTAATAGTATTTAGTATGTATTATCACTTGATTGGCCCAATCTGATTTTGCTATTGTATCATTTTGTTTTCACAAATTTAGAAACTGAGGCTGAAGTGTTTTGGGATTTGACCAAGGTCTCAGTGGCTAATAGGTAGAACCAATACAGAAGCTGACTTCTAACTCTGAAAATCAAGTTCTTATCCAATAAACTATACTACCTTTATAAGAATACCAATAAAATAATTAACGTTATTGAAATACTGTGGTGGCTTCCTGAGTATTTCCAAACACAGTTTCTTGAAGAGGAACTTTATTTTCACTTCCTTACATTTCCTTCCTTATCGTGCAGAATTTTTTCATATCAAACAGTTGTCAGTGACGACCTGCCAAATCACATAGTCACTGGAAGAGTGCGGATGAAACCAAACGTGAAGGAGTTCACCGAGACGTCCGCCATCTTTGAGGATGGCACTGAAGAGAAGGTTGACACTGTCCTCTTTGCCACAGGATACACCTTCTCTTTCCCTTTCTTGGAGGATGACTTAGCAATCCTGGACAGCCAGCATTCCATGTATAAGTTTGTCTTCCCTCCTCAGCTGGAGAAGCCAACACTGGCTTTCATTGGCCTCCTGCAGCCCGTGGGGGCCCTCATCCCCACAACAGAACTCCAGAGCCGATGGGCTGTGCGGGTGTTCCAAGGTAGGCCCGCTCTTCTACGTGATTATGCATGAATGGCAAGGCACCCAGAGCTCTTCTGTCCAATTTACCTTATACCACAGCACCTGAGATTTTGCCATAAGAAATTACTTTTGTATTCTCTAGAAAGTCGATTTTTCATTTCTAAAAGAATTCTGTTGAAAATGAAAGCATCCAAGGAAAGAACAGGGGAACAGCTTAGAGTTCTGTGCCTACTTCTCTTTGTTCTGTCCCTCATGTTGCTGTGTCTTTTCACACTCAGACCTTCATTCTGCCATGTTCCCTCGGCCCCCAACACTCACATTCACACCCAGGCCACTTTGGATTTTTACTTCTTACCAAAAGCATCAGTGCAGTCTCGGGATGTTTTCCCTCCCTGCACAACTCCTGAAGATACAGTGAGAAGAATGATTTCCCACCTGCTCTGAAGCCTGAGGACTTGTATTTGAGATGTGAGCTCCAAGCCAGAAAATGTCTAGAGAGAAGATTTTGAGACATATCAGTATAGTCTGAGTATCACTGAAAGATTAAAAAACACATTGGGAGAATTCTTGGTATTCACAGATTTTGTTATGGGTTTAAAGTGAGGAACAACTCACTATTTCTCTTAAGGGAAGTTGACTCCTCTCCTGACTCCTGAAATTGATAGGAAATTCTCTTCCTTGGGATTTTATACAAAGTGCTTTAATTATGAGTTCCATAAAATGATGATTATTACAACTCTTTTCATTCAAAACTTCTTCTTTTTTTTGTTTACTCGTCTCGCAGCCCTCCTTACATTTCTCTCTTGCTTTTTCTTAGGACTGAAAAAATTGCCCTCAGAGACTGACATGCTGGCTGAGATCAACAGAAGGAAAACGAGAATGGCCAAAGAGTAAGCACACGATCCCCCGCTAAAGGACACCAAACTCGTTCAGCAGGTCCTATTTGACATTTGTGTTTGAACAAGGCACTTTAACAAGACCCCTAAGACAATTCTAGCTCTGTGACATTATGGTGACTACGCACATGGGGACAGGTGTGGAAAGTGCCTGGCTAGAACACCAGTCTCATAAGATGTCCAGTCCCTGCCCTGAGCGACCTCAAAATGAGGACACGAGAACATGCCAGAACCAAAGCCAGAACATAAGAGGAAACCAGCTCAGTTCAGAGTAGAGAAAACACACACTGCACCAACGCACATCGAGAGCAGCTTAGGGAGATGCGTGTTCCTTCAATGTGGTAAACACATACTCTGTGCGCTTTGAGGAAAAGCTATGCTCACGAGCACACTCGGGGAACTCTGGAGGATACGACCTTTGGAGGATGTGTCCTTCTTGCAATTTCCTAACTAGGCTTTCAGTATAGGCTATAAAATTAACAGCATATGTGAATGCCATTCATGTCGACTTCAGTTTACTCTTGGTAGTTTATAGCTTTGTTGCTAAAGGAAATGGATTTCACCTGTGTTTTCTAATTGATTATTTCTAGGCTTCGTTAAAGTTATTATTTCATGTACCATTATGTGGTAATCAGAACACTTTACTCCTTTATTAATTTTAATGATTCTTTACTTGGTTATCTTAGGAGGGTAAGTGACCATAAAGTTGGTTCTAATTTTCACTCTTCCTTTCCTATACCTGGATCTTCTTTCTGGTATCTCTTCCTTGGCTCTACCTTAGGAGATGACCATAGTTTATACAGGAGAATCAGATGTTCTTGTTTTATTTATGGATTTATTTAAACTATTATTAGTGTTTTACTATTGAAGATGATATTGACAACTATACTTAAGAATGTGTCCTTGGATTAGGACACAACTAGAGAAAAGAAATGCATGTTGGATTTTATCAAAACCCATTTGAACAAATTCTAAAATGACAGGGATTTCCACCATTGACATATTGATAGCATGAATTATAGGAATACATTTTCTACATTAAACATGTCTTAATTTCTAGGGATAAAGACTAATTGGTCATTGTGTGTGATTATATTCCAACACTGTTAACTGTTGGAGAGAAGTTCATTTGTGATTTTTTGAACTTTTATAGATGGGAATGGTCTGAGAGTGTCCTTCCCTCACTCACCCTGTTTCTAATTTTGTTATGTTGTTTTGAGGCTTATAATCTAACAAAATTAATGAACAGTGCTTTTATATGCTAAATCATAGCTAATGATTAAGACTTCAATCGGATAAGGACTTCATGCTACTTGAAAATATCACATATACTATGATATGTACATATCATTGAATAACATGTTTATCATCAATGTAAATGTTTCCATTAAACACTTACTTAAGAAAACATTCTTGGGCTACATTTTTCCATTGTTTCCAGCATTATTGGTCTAAGTTTATTCCTCTGTTTTCATGTGAAATGTAACCATGAATTTTTTTAGGAAATTATCATTGTCATTTAATTTTGCAAATCTTAAGAATCTTCTAACATTTCTTCCCAACATTCTGAAAAATTTAGATATTTTTTTAGATTGTCAGAAATTCTAGTCTTGTTACTCTTTGACCCAAGAGTGATTTACTGGAGTGGCTTTTGTTTGTTTTGTTTTGTATTTTGGTTTTGGGGGTTTTTTAGTTGTAGATGGACACTGTACCTTTATTTTATTTTTATGTGGTGCTGAAGATCAAACTTAGTGCCTCACACGTACTAGGCAAGTTCTCTACGAATGAGCCACAACCCCAGCCCTGGAGTGATTTTAATTTCTAAGTAGGTAGAAGAAGTCCTATGTAGGAAGCAAAAAGTGCATCATGATTGTCTGAGACGTCCCAGGAACTGATGTCTAGAATGAACACATGCAGAGACAGCTCACATGGCCTGGAAGAGTGCTGTGAGCAGGGCAGGTGACTCTTCCCTCACTCACTCCTTGCTCGTCAGAGCTGTGTGGTGGGACTGGGGGCTCTGGGGTAGAGCTGTGTCTGCCAGGGAAATGGACATCTCAGCTTCACCCGCCCTTCCCTCAGCCTTCCTACATGCATGCCCCTCCGCTGGGCACTCGGGGAAGTTTACACACCTCAGGCATTTACATATGGGGCTAAGACCATAGTATCCTAAGTAGGCCAAGTCATGTGCAGGACATCAAGATGGTTTGATAAGCAGAAGACAATGGAGTCAAGAAAAAAGCAGAAATAAAGTCCCTTGGAAACTCGGGATGATGCTGACGGAAATGTGACATAGCGCTTCCAACATTGTCCTTCCTATTCCAGGTTTGTGGACAGCCCCAGAGATGCATCTCGAGTGTACTACATCGACTACATGGATGAGATTGCTTCTGAGCTAGGCGTCAAACCCAACCTGCTCTCCCTCTTCCTCTGGGATGCCAAGCTAGCCAGGGAGGTTTTCTATGGGCCCTGCACCCCATACCAGTACCGCCTACAGGGGCCCGGCAAGTGGACCGGAGCCCGGGCAGCCATCCTCACCCAGAGAGCCCGGATCCTCAAGCCCCTGAGAACACGTGTGCTCCAGCACTCTGGCTCCCGTTCCTCTGGGTGGCTTTGGGTCCGAAGTGTCTGTGCTGTCATCTTTCTCTCTGCTTCCATGGTCATCATCTTGCAGATTGGTCATTAAGCTCACGTGGACACAGATGGGCCTGGAACCAGAGAAGAACAAAGTCACTCAGATTTGAATCTAGCAAAGGGAAGCAGTCAATGGTCTGGGGAAAGACATCCTTGGACAGACCAGCTCACACACAGATATTTCAAAGGAAACAAAATTGCCCCAATGATGGTTTTCCACGTGCACTAAATGAAGGGAGGTGTGAAATGCACAGCTTTGCTCCCCTTCATTTCAGTAGGAATTTGAAGGTTTGACAGGTTTACCAACAGAGGACAACGAAATGACAAGTGGGGCTCCATTGGAAACCAAGGGGAGAGACAAAGCAAAGCCAGCAGGAAACCCCAAACGTGCATCCTGCGGCCTCCAACTTCCCCCAACCCCCTTCCTGCTGCACATGGAAACCTTCTGGCCAACAGAAAAACCCGACAGTCTCCACCTTCACCAACTGACCCAGCAGCCCTGTTACAGAAGAGTCGATAGGCTCCCCGGAACTGCACAGTTCCACCCTGCCACAACGAGGAGACAGCCCACCTTCTGGTCCAGAGGCCAACGTTCTTCCACTGAGGTGCAATTGAGGAATAACGGAAATGAAGAAAGAGAATGTTCTCAAGATATTTTCCTTGCAGTCTAATAACTGCAATGTTACATCCACCTACACTTAAAGAACAACAAGCAGAATCGACTGTGTTAATGGAGACTCGAGGGGCAGAATGACAAGACCCTCTCTGCACTGACTGCTGGTTTAGTGCAGAGGGAACTCAGCCTGCACTGCACAGGAGATGGTCACGACACCGCTGGCTGGCGGCATAATGTGTTATGGTTGTGAAATAAGACATGCTCAGTTTCAGAAGGTACATACAAAAGCAGGAATAAAGTACCATGATATCCACAATTTATGTGCAAAAGACACGAGAATAACTGTGTGCCTGTGAGTGTGACAAAGAGGGGTTGCGTGAAAAGGATCAAATATCCACAGCAGGGTCTTCTAGGAAAAAGGGATTCAGGTGCTCATCATACTCCTTCTTCAAATCTTGTCTGTGTCACTTTACATTTGGGAACTTCAACATAAAACCTTAGAGAAACACTCATTGTCTAAAATCACTTATGTATGTGCCATCAATAGCCCACACATTTGAGTTCAACCTTTTATTAACCAATCAAAAAAGGGAACTGTGGAAAAGCAAATAACGAGCTAATTAGATAAGATCACATCATAACACTGTTAGGGATTTAAGTGGAGGAGGGATTTCACCATGGACTTCTTAAAAGCCATGGCGTTGCTTGGTGATAGAAATATCATCTGTGACATCTGTACTCTGTATGTGCAGACTCTGAATTGTTCAGGAGCATCCCCATCATAAACTAAGCATTTTTGCCGTGATATGTTTTCGAATAGTTGGCCTACTATTTCTCGGAGACTCTGCTAATTATTATTTCCATCAACAGAAATCACGATGAATATTGAGAGTTTACTTTCAGAAAGTGTCTGGAGAAGAGATACTTTGTAGGTAGCCACTTTGATTGCCTGAGATCCTTACCCAAGGGGAACCACTCTGGGGGCCAAGGATTTTTGAAACATGATTTTGAATCTGTTCTACACTGTGAATGGCTGATCAAAGCCCCTATTTAGTGTGACCAAAAGAATTTTAATCGGAAAAATAATTATCTCATCAAAGTTTCTAAAGAGCATTCCTCTCTGAACTTCCCGCTGAGCCTCCGAAGGCAAACTGTGAAATATGCCCCAATGTAAGTGAGCAACCTTAGGGGGACATCACAGTTTATAAGACAGTCAAAAGCTGGGCTGAAGCAGCCCCTCCTGGAGCCTCCAAGCCTGCCCCTGTCCCTTCCCTCCCTCCCCTGGCCCGGCTCCTACTCTGCCTACTGATGCTGTGTCCCTCTCTGTCAGAGCTATGTCACCTTCCCCCAAAGCCCCGCTGAGGCCACCATCTCTCCATCTCCCACTCCACTACCAAACCACCCCAACAGCCTAATCCTGCCGCAGTCTGGCTGGGCACAAATCACCGAGCCGCCACAAAGCACTTGTATGTTCAAACAGGAAACTTTATTGCCTGAGCTCCAACAGCACTCCACGCACACTCCCTGGGAACTCTCCCGAACGCCACCCATGTGGCTCCTCTCCGGCACACCACACCAACCAGAATTCCCTCCACCAGAACTTCCCCAACGCGAACTCCCCAGGAAATCCCTGCAAGAACTCCAAAGTAGCGGGCGCCTGAGGCAGACAGCAGGGGTCTATATACAATTGAATCAATCCAGCATCATCTTAATGGCTCCCCTCTCAACCACTACTTCTAGCAAAATGCCAGGGGCCATTCCGACTTGGCTGTGGCTCTCAACATCTCCCCCCTTCTGTTTAATTAAACAACAAGCATGTGGCTTAGGGACCGCGCCCGTCTTAAGATGTCCAATACTACATATGGTCCTTACCCATCATCAGATGAGTTGACCTCAAGGTGTCAGCCTCCTGTCTTAGGTTGGTACCATTGCAATTGGATCTCACCCGTCATTGACTACTGGTCCAGCATACAGCCATACTTGTGGATAGGCCTTTGCACCAGTGGTGGGTGAGGTTCTTTGCCTCACCTCTGTTGGCCCCCAAATTTGGCCTTTGCATCAGTGGGGGGGTGAGGTTCTTTGCCTCACCTCTGTTGGCCCCCAAATTTTAGACCATCACAAGCAGAAGGGAGGAGGCTGCAAAATGCCACAACACCAAGCCAAATGACGGTTCCTTTTGGAAAAATTGTACCACCTATGACACCATCAGCAAAGATACCCCAGCACTACCACAATTCGCTGCACCAACAGATAGTTCACAATGCATACAAGTGATACATAGTCCAGGCAAGTTCTGCAAGCAGTTCAAAGCAGAGGAATCCATTAATATGTCCATTTCCTCCCAAAGTAAATCGACTCCTTGATTGAGCATTACTTGTTGAGTTATTATTCATTGATGCATCAGTTTATACAGTTTGTTGTAATAGCTATCGTAGAAGCTGTAGTTTGGTTTTCTCTTTGTCTTCACTGGCACTGGGATGAAGATAGGAATTCTGGCAATGATGGCTAAAAAAAAACTTACGTAACATTCCAGCAGACACTAAAAGAAAGCAATTTTCTAAACAATTTACATTATCCTGAACAGAATTATTAAATATAATGAAAAGGAAAGTTGAAAGTAAACAAACAAATCTGTTAACCTCCTTTTTTGTTCACATATTTTTACATATTAAAACAATCCTCAACAGCTGTTTACCCAATTTAAATTAAACCATTTAAATCACGTGAATAAAAAAAGTATTTGGATCCATTTTTTTCATGAGTGCTCCTCATATATGATATATGACATACGCACATACAGACATACAACACAAAACAGAAGTGTGCACACATAACACAATACATACAACACATAACATAATAGTAAAGGCCTTGTAGCTTTCCACAGGTGAAATTTCCATTGCAATGTTTAAAACTCCACAGTCAAAAAATAAAACTGATCAGAAAAACATTAACCTAGGTCTGTATGAGCTCAAAAAATTAAATAGAACTTCATGTGGGAAAAGGCAATAATAAAATAGATATTGAAAAAAGCATCCTGGTTACCACCTGGGTTTGACTCTTCTTTGGATATCCCATCCTTTTTCCTGTAACTTGCATAATGGGTCTGAAGGTATTCCCACAAGCAAGCCCCAAGGTTTTTTACATTTGAAATAGGCTTTAATGGTGTTCATTATTCATTAGCCTCCAGGTGTGGGAGAACCACTGTTGCATATGTAAGGATATCAGCTGTTAAGGATTTGAGCCAAGTCATCTTCTTTTTGGTCTGTAGAAATCGCTTTAGTTAGTCTCTCTGGAATCCAAATCGGCTGCTGTTATCCCTGTGGAAACACATAAACAGACCCCCGACTCCAGACAATCACTGGGTCAGGACCTTTCCATTGTCCTGTTAGAATATCCTTCCAAAGTACCTTGGGCTTATGTACATTTTTTGGACATATATGCCTTTCCACAGCACTAAGCCCTGATGAATCCAAATTTAAAAAGTTTAGAGTAAAAAGGGTTATTTTAAGTTTATCCTTGGGGGATATATACCCCTTCCCAATTCCCTCTTTTTGCTTTAATAACTACATTTTAATAGTTTGATGAGCTCTTTCAACTATGCCTTGTCCCTGTGGATTGTATGGGATTCCTGTTATATGAGTAATGCCAAATGATGAGCAAAATTGTTTAAAAGAGGTAGAAGTATAGCCAAGACCATTATCTGTTTTTAACTGTTTTGGAATGCCCACAGTAGCAAAATTTTGTAAGCAATGAGCTATAATATCTTTACATGAATGGAGCCCATCAAAAATCCAGAAGAAGTATCAACTGTAACATGCAAATATTTTAATTTTCCAAATTCTGGCAAGTGTATGACGTCCATCTGCCAAATATAGTTAGGTATCAGTCCTCTAGGATTGACTCCAAGATTAACTTGTGGTAAAAAGGTCACACAATTTTGACATTGTTTTATTATTTGTCTAGCTTGTTGCTTAGTTATTTTAAAACGCTTTTTGACATTGTTTTATTATTTGTCTAGCTTGTTCCTTAGTTATTTTAAAATGCTTTTATAAAGTATTGGCATTGACATGGAACCTTTTATGAAAATTTGTAGCTTCTTCTAGTGTAGAAAAAATATGTATGTCATGTGTAGTTTTATCTGCTAAATCATTGCCCAAACTAAGGGCTCCAGGCAATCTTGTATGTGCCCTGATATGTCCTATAAAGAATGAATCTTTTCTGTCCCAGATTAGAATGTGAATAGTGGAAAACAAAGAGAAAACAGTAGAGGAAGGGGAAATCCTACCAGCATCTTCAAGGGATACTATAGCATTAACTATATACTGACTATCAGAAAATAAATTAAATACAAAATCTTTAAACATCACAAAAGCTTGCAATACTGCATTAAGCTCTACCTTTTGAGTTGATTGTTTGGGTACTAAAAATGTAAAATTTTGATCAGGGGTAACTACT